TATATATATATATATATATATATACATATATATACACATACACACACACACACACACACAAAACATGCAACTGAATATATTATATATACACACACATGTTCAGCGAGATTAGTATAGCTTCTTGATTCAACGTTTGAGCTGACCCTTGTTCCTATACCACTGACGTACTCTATCACAATCACACCACTAGGCAGGCTGAAGTTCAGCAGAGAGATGTATGTAACCTATACAGGTCATTGCACCATTTCATAGTAATGACACAAATCAGGGAGCATCCAGCCACTCTGTAAATGCCTATTCACTATATTTTTAATCCAGATTAAGCTTTGCACCATCTTCTTTAAAACAATGAATGATTTTCAAAACTTTTTTCCATAAAACATTTTATAAGCATGTTTACGTATATTTAAGGGTTCATAACTATAATTTTCAGTGTTTATAGATGTTACCTGGGTTGCACTCTATTATAACTGGTGTTGTTCTTTGATCACAGGAATCAAGGCTATACAAAATCTTATTCACTAGGTTGTCGTCTGTAATAAACCTTCGATGGTATTTGACTGATTTAGCTATCTCCATTTCTTCGCTTAGTTCAGACAACTCCACTCTGAAGGTTTTGGTCTGTTTCTGAGGAGCGACTGTCGACATTGCACAGGAGGAAGGAGGCAATTTCCCTGAATGTGTAGACTTTGGATCTGCAACGCTATGAAGTCGTCTGCAAAAAGACACAATGGGCACCCCCGACTGTGGCCCATATCGCAGAAGGCACAAACCCACCCGGATTCCTGACACCGAAGACATTATGCCAGCTTTGATGAGATCTTACATGGAGAATTAGGCCTGCCTGTAAAAGAAAAAAAAGAAAATGCATCTGCTTCCAAATAACACAGGGCATAGACTAGAGCAATGGAGAGCTTTGTGACTGCGATAAAAGAAAATATGTCAGATTTAATTAGAATAGAATTTAAAAAGCTCCATTTATTAGAATAGCAGCATTTACCAAGGAAGTACAGGTGATGGTGGTATTGTGTCAGAGGAACCTGTCTCCTCCCTTAGGTAAAGGAGGCATCTGCCTCTGAAACATGACCATCACCAAGTCTACTTTTGTAAAAGCCGCTATTCTAACAAATGAGGCTTTGCCAGATGAAATGGCAGTTGTCCTTTAAACCTTATCATTGCTAAGGTGGTATGGCACACAGTAGCAGATTTTCTTTGTTTGTTATTGCGTATGAATCGCCCTCTGACTTTCTCAAACTGTGAACATAAAAAAAGCCAATTCAGCAACTTAAAATGGGCTGATTAAAGTACAACAGATTGTCTGTACACAAAAAATAAATAAAGTTTCTAAAAAGGACCCCCGCCTCTGTTAAACATACACGCAAACAGATAAACATTGTGCAAACTCTACTCTAAAGAGCTTTCACGTTTTTTTTTCATATGCACCATATAGACATATATGGGTATAGTAGTATTTTTTTCGACATTGCATGTACGCATGCAATTTTGATGCTTGATATATTTGGAATTTACTCACACAACCACATCTTTTATACTTTATGGAACAAATAGATTTTATATTGCGTTTATGTGCACTAAAATTATTTTACAGCAGACCTTCAAGCCAACTGGTGGCTTTACACGGAAAGCGATTCTGGCCGCTGAGCTGCCGCCAGATCGCTTCCAAGGGCTGGTGTAGAGGGCACAACCCATCTCAACCCCCCCCCACCCCTGATATTCCCGCCTTGCTTCCTTGGCTCTGCTGCCCCTCCTGCAGGCCTGTAATGGCATTACAGGTGCAGGAAGGAAGCGGGAAGGAGACCGGCGAACATCCATTCAACGTTCTCCTCCCTGCTGAATGGGGCTAGAAGAGATGCTGATTGCATCACTTTCACTCCCTCAGATGCCATTGCTCCAATAGCTTCTTTGGAGTGGAAAGGTGACACTGGGGGGTCTAATTGACCCCAATGTCAAATCCAATGTGCTTGAAAGCCCCTCTATGCAATAGCATTTAAGTAAAAAAAAAAAAAAGAAATGTAAAATCTATTTACATTTTTAAGAAAAAGTAAAAATAAGAAAAAAATGTTTAAAGTCCCCTACCCTGCGAGCGCGCGGATATTAACGTAAACATGCGTTAGGTGCACCTAGGTATGAAAGTGACGACCGTGCTACAAATGTTAGAGCAATAATTCTAGGGACAATATTCATGGATATCTCTAAACTGATGCCCTGTACGGGCTTTTAAAGCATTCGCCTATGGACAATTTGGGTTATTATACTTTGTCACCGTTTCATGGATGCACACAATTTTTAACATGGGCATGCTGGGTATCTATTTACTCAACTTTTATTTAAAAAAATGGGTATTATATTGTGTTTTGGGGCACTAAAATTAACTTAATTGTATTTTGCACAAAAGATGCGCAAATTTTTTCCAACATAAAAATTTGCAGCTGCCACCTGTTTATTCTACAGGGTCTTTGTGTGTGTGTGTGTGTGTGTGTGTGTGTGTGTGTGTGTGTGTGTGTGTGTGTGTGTGTTTGTTTTTTTTTTTTTATTATATTTTTTTTTTTCTTGTCTTTAATTTTTCAACTTTTTATAGAATTTATATATATATGTTTAAAATTTTCCTATTTTTCTAAATAATTTTTCAACTTTTTAATGTCGCCTGTTTATTCTATAGGGTCTTTTTGTGTGTGTGTGTGTGTGTGTGTGTGTGTGTGTGTGTGTGTGTGTGTGTGTGTGTGTTTGTTTTCTTTTTTACATAATATATTTTTCTTTACTGATTGTTACCCTGTTGTATACCAGTTAGGGATACTGTGGGGTACCACATCCACAAAAATCATTACAAACTAAGCAACTAACCCATGAAAAATTCATATTGGACTTTTCAGGTACCAACCCACACAAAATGCCTAATTATATGAAAACAAGTGATCTTTATTATTACAAACCAACATAATTCCGTGAAACCAATACTTAATAAAAACCATACAAAACATGGTGAATGCATGGCCGTTTCTCCCCTTCCTCCAATCACAGGTCACTTTGCATTGTTTGAAATAATAGTACATCTTCTATGAATGGAGGACAGGAGGAGGAAGGGGCGGCCGAGCGAGCAGCGTAACTTTTGCAGACTCTTTAACCCCTGCAGCACTGCAAGATCAGCACTGTAGGGGTTATCTGGTGACACTCGTGGGAGGATTTCTACAATAAGTAGCAACTACTAGGGCGTGGAACACAACTTCAGGGAAATTAAAAGCCTTCTCTTGTAGTGGGCTGCACTGCGTGAGGTGACTGCTTGTTTATGCCTAGCAGAGAAGAAAAAAACGGTTTTACTTATCTAATCCTCTCACCTCTTTTCCGGCTGTGGACTTTCCCTTGGTGCCCTTACATACAATGCAGGGCTATGGAGCCTTCATTGCACTTGAAGATTCTGCTGTCCTGAAACCATTGGAGCAAAGGGGAGAAGAGGCTGCCAGGTCCAGTCTATCAGCCCAGAGGGAGGTGATATCAGGTAAGCAACACAGCTGCAGCAATGGTATGTCCCGCTGCATCATTACGTCCTATACACAGTGTATAGAACGTGATGAATCATGGACCTTAGACCGCTGCAGGAGAGGGGGAGCGAGGCTCCAGGAACCAGTCTAACAACAAGCCAGCTCAGGCAATCAGATGAGTATAGCTTTGTTGTTTTTTTAACCACCTAGACACAAAGGAGCCCCACTGCAAAGGTTAAGAAAACATTTGCCCAGAGTTCTGCTTTAACCTCCTGTCGTCTGCCCGTTGAGAAAAAATGGACAGACGGCGGACTCACTTTCGCGGGTTGTTGTCATCAGACGGCATTTTTTTTCCTGCGCGCAAGGAAACCCCGTCCGTTCTTTACAGCCGTTACCGGCTTTTTCACATACAACCGATCAGCGGCTCTATAGCCGCCGATCGGTTGTATGAAGTTAAAAAAATAAGTCACATATTTAAAAAAAATAAAAATAAATTTAAGTCCCCCACCCCCACGTTTATGCACATATAAATGTAAATATGCGTCGGATGAGTCAGCGCGCAAAAACGACAATTGCGCTACACATGTTACATATCGCCGCAAACTTCGGAATGAGAGCAATCATTTTAGGGCCATCAATCACTGATAACACTAAACTGATGAGCGGAAAAAACTTTTAAAGCGTCGCTTATGGCCAATTTTGGGTATTGTAGTTTTTTGAGGTTTCGCACGTGTGCGCAATTTTAAGGCTTGACATGTTCGGTGTCTTTTTACCCGACGTGACCCCGTCTTTTATATTTTACCAAAAAAATTGGGTAATAATAAATGTTTTATAATTTAATATAGGGCAAAGTTTTTTGTGTACATTTTCTGTAATTTTTCCTTAATATAGTAAAAAATAAAACCCCCAGTGGTGATTAAATACCACCAAAAGAAAGCTCCATCTGTCCCCAAAAAAATGGTATAAAATTAATTTCAGTACAGCGTTGCATGACTGAATAAACGTCAGTCAAAGTACCGCAGCGCTGAATACTGAAAAATGGCCTGGATAGGAAGGGGTGTAAACACCGTGGAGTTCAAGTGGTTAAGTAACGTCCTTGGAGTTTCGTAACAACATTTTTTTTTTTTCTTCCCTAAGCTTTATTTACAGCAAACCATTCCCTAGCCCACTAATAAAAACTACTTAGAAAATAAGTCCGATTTCAGTTCTAATATGTTAAGAAAGGCAAACTTAAAAAAGGTAAGAGGCATTTTTTTTTAGTTATGCAATGTGAAAGGGAACGTGTTTGATATATTAGGTGTTATCACAATTTGGCTACAAAAGTGGAAATACACTTACAAAAAACTTTATAAACCTAGGACAAATGAGCACATTCTGCAACAAGAACAAAAAGGACATGTTATGGTGATCAAGCACATGTTCTCCCATACACTATTGTATGTGATGAGCTAACTCACTGCTGCAGTCTAATAAATCCTGATAGAAGGATGCACGATCCCCACATACCTGCGATCCATAGAGGTTCTGGTCCTACGAGAACCCCACATGTGGGTCACCTTGTCCCTTCAGCTGTGTGCAAGCATGACAGCTTCGCAGAAACAAAAGACAGAGCGGCTCTTCCGCATCCGGCGGCGACCCAGCAGTCAGAATGTAGAGGCCGGACAGGTCATAGCGCCCCCTGTGGTGTTAAATGTGAATTGCAGCTGTCAGTGGCTAGGAGAGACACCGGGCAGTGGTGTTCTGAGCGATGTAGCCGCCTTGTTGCAAGACATAATAGGATTAATAATCGTTTATGATTGTGATCATATAATCATTGATAATATCTAATACAAGGGTAATAAACTCGGACTAAATAGCTTTTTCTGCACATTATTAAAACATGTTCACATAGGCAGGATACGCAAAAGAGCGTCCTGAAGCCATGTTTTACAAACTGCACAGCCTAAAGATTACATGCAAATGCAATCATATCCGTTTAGCTCGGGGGAAAGCACAAAGGTGTACAGGACTCTGTGGCTCTCTATTCCCTTCCCTGTGTTGTATGTAGAAGGATGCAAGTGGCACAGGTTTGTATTAAATGACCAGCCTTGTGCCATCGCTCTAATCCTCATTTTACATCCCTTGCTGTCCAGTGTGTGCACCTAAATAACCACCAGCCAGGCCCGTCTTTAATATTGATCGGACCCTGGGCAAACATTTTCTTGCCAAAAGGCACCCATCCGCACAGCCTCACGTCCTCCAGGGAAGCCCGTGACATGTCACGCTATGCGGGCGGGGGCCGGGGGAGGAGCTACCTTTAGGATGCGATCGTGCAGATCGCATAGGACAATACGTTATGGCATTG